ATGGGGGATTCATTCCAGAACCAAGGCCCAATACCCTATTTTCACCAAAAAAACCCCAGAATTTTGTACTTGATCAATTATAGATGAGTAATATAGCTACATGAATATATTTATATTGTAAATAGCAATCATATTGATTTGGAAGGACTTCTTTGAGGTGACTCTGCTGGACTTTGAAAAGTGTTCTTGGCTGGAGTCTTCTCAGGAGTCTTGGCTGCAGGTTTTTCTGGAGTCTTGTCTGCTGTAAAGGCAGTGTCCAAAGAAGTTTGGAAAGATATTCTTCAGAGAGATGAGCGACACAGCGAACTTATTCGCTGGTGTGACGTCGAATCGGATCAAGCGTTGTAAGTTGAAATTGATGTCACAAAGTTGAAACGGTGTCAATTTATAAACCTTGTAAGTGCGAAACGTAACTCAAAACGTAAGTCGAGAACTGTCTGTATATAGTAGTCTTCAAAATAGAAAAGTGCCTCGTAAATCAAGAAATGAACATTTTGAGGTAAGGGATCCACACACACAAGCAATCCACTCTGAATGAGCCATGTGGAAAAAAATGGGAGAGTTTACTGGCACTTAAATTTGCCCTACAGAATAATTTTTGTATTCTTTTATGCTCTATTTTTCATATTTGTAAAAGAGTTAGGAAGTGTCACATCTAGGGGCTTCTCCAGGCCCGGGCATGCCTCCAGAAGCAGAGACTTATGTCATGGATCTTTGGACTTAATTACTCCAAGAAAGGAAGGAAACTTTCAGGTAAGACATGGATACACTTCTTATTTTATCACCCTCCCCCTGCTCAAACCATGCTTAATGGGCTTAAAGAGAAACTGGTAACATTGTAAACTGTTATTGGTGTTTTCCTATAACCAAGAGACAGAGTTTGTCTTCAGTTTGCCAGGAGTATACACATGTATAAAGGGACTATGTGTACCCACCAAACAATGGCACTCAGAAAGTTAGGGCCTCTGTCTTCTCGGGGAAGTCATGGGGATAGTCAGGCTCCTAAGAATGGATTTCTCAGCAAGGATTTCCCCAATCCCAAATATGTGAGCAGAGAGGGGTAGTTAGGTAGAAGGCAGGGTAGATTTGCACCCTTATAACAAGTGGCCAACCAGTAGGATGAGCGCTACAAATGGTATGGGCAGGGGAAGGGACAGGTGGTACAGCAGCAGATGGGACAAAAAGCAGAAAGCAGAGCAGGAGATCAGGCAGAGGACACAAGGCAAGAAGCAGAAAGAGCAGGAGATCAGATGGGGGACACAGGGCGAGAAGCAGAAAACACCAAACTGGGCAGAGAGGGGATTGGAGTGGCACTCGGGGAGGGTGTGGGGCTGGCTTGTAGCATGCCGGCCAAAAGGCTGGACCCCCAGTCTAAAAAGTGCAATTCTACCCTGCCTTCTGCCTCCATAGCAAATGCCGAGGGCAAAGGTGAGCAAAAGGGACTTAAACCAGGCCCTCCCACGGTCCTCCCTTGCAGCTGAGTGCCCTAACCGCTGCGCAAATAATCACCATGATTAATCTTTTAAATGGCGGAAATCCTCCCCACAGAATAACCAGTGACCCATTAATTAAGATACTTTTGGGGGATGTAGGGGACCTGGAAAATTCCTGCTTCAGATTTTGCAGGTGGGGTTTTAAAAAATAGATCTCCTTTCCACTAACTCGATACCGTAGTCACCAGACTTTAGGACAGAAGTGAGCAGTTTCAGGTACACCAGTGAAGGTGTAGCAGTGATGGTGACCCTTTGGTCTTTTTGGAGAACACCTACAGGTCGGTTTCCAGAGGCAGGAAAAGCAGCATAATGCCGCATCTGAGAACCTTGTTTGTTTGTGGGTACAAGCTGTGTTGCTGAACCTTTGCACAAACCAGCCTTATTTTTTATAGGCTGGTTTGTGCAAAGTTAGCCTTGATTGGTGTCAAGGCTAACTTTGCACAAACCAGCCTATAAAAAATAATTTCTGGGATTAAAGGAAAGATGAACAAGGACTTGGAGAATCTCTGTGACCCCTTAGTCACTAGATCTAGTAAAGAATGAAGTGCCTAAGGTGGTTAGTAGTCGCATGTTTTTGGGAGACATGCATTTGAACCCTATCAATCTGAGGAGTACATTGGACCCAGATATCCCACTTTCAAGCAAGTACTCTAACCACTATGCTGATACAGTAAATACAGATACTATCTCCTTGTTTCAAAAGTGTGATCCTACTGTTTTTTAAAGGAGGCTTTGGGGTGCCCACCTTCATAAGAGGGTTGGTTACAGGTTGTGGATGCCTGCTGGATGGTGGCACCTCCCTGAAGTCTTAGAGGCACCTGAAGCCCTGGGGAGAAATGCCATTTTGGATACATCCATGGGCTTTTTCTGTAGTGACAGGTCCTTGTGTTTTGTTTGTTCTGGATCCCATTTTGAGGTACCTCACTCTCCCCATGCAACATACACCTAAATCAGAGTTTAGGATTCTACCATGTGCTTAAAGTTAGTCACTCCAGTGCCCAATTTTTAGGTACTTAAGACCTTTATTTGACCTTGGCTTAAAGATTTTTTTAAAATTAAAACCTCAATAGAGTGATTGACCTTTTTTTCAGCAACTGGGGTAGCTGCATTCCCTTCTATACTGGGAGTTTATCCCATGGGGCATCTGACAATCAGCTTACTTGGTTAGGACTCTAATTTTAGGATCCTGGTTTAAAGTCTCGGCCCTTCTTGGGTTCGTCCCCGTGACTGCACACATGTGGCTTGCGGTGCCTCAAAGTAATTTGAGTCACTGGGAGATCCCAGTCAATAAAACCAATGACTGAAAAAAGTAGCATGGTGCACATGGCAGCAGCATGCACTGCCAGAAAGGGAGCCTGGCTAGCCAGACCCATGCTCCAAGTGGCCAGCTCAGTGTTGCTGCTGCTCCAGGAGGCCTCCCAAAACCCCAGGTAAGGCTGCTGGGGGCAGCCTCCCCTACCCTACCTGGGTCACTTTGCTGCACACTGAGCACGTGTGCAGGGGCGTGCCTGGGGACAAATAGTGGCATAAATATGTGCTGCTGGTATTTGTCCGGCAGGAAACTTGTGCCTCTGCACGTGCGTGCTCATCTGGACATGCCTTCTATCTCCAAGAGGAGTTTGCATTGGTGAAGGTACATTGATCTGTATGTCCTATTGAGGCTGAAGCAGCAGTGGAGCCAGGTATGCTTAGATAACAAAGCAGTATTTGGATGATAGACTTGCAAAGCAGTACAAGTAACGCCAAGTGCAAAGCTAACTGGCCTGGGGCTGTGGGAAAGATGTCTGAGAGCTGGTTATCCTGCAGTTGCAGGGTTTGCCAAAGCATTTGGCTACTAGTTTTTCTAAGCGACAAGGATACTGGAGGAGGTGACCTACTCATCTGCCTCTGTAGTTCCTCTGTAGTTGAAATCAATGCATATCACTCAAATCTCTAAGGAAGGAGAGGGAAGCATAGGTAAAGAATCTAGGACTTGTCTGTAACTGCAAGTTCTCAACTTCTCATGGACAAATGGTAGGAAAGGCAGTCCCACCCCAGTCTGGGAGTTCACCTCCCCTTCCGTAGAGCTAGTCTAGCTGAACATCTTCAGGCTCCTAGAACCGTGGCAAGCAATTCAGCTGGTAGTGCTGCTGCTCAGGAGTCTGCAGACGGAGGGCAGAAAGTGTCACGAATCTAGTTTAAAAACACAGTTCAATGGTGACCTGAAAGCGTGCTCCTTTAAGAAAACAACTTTTTAAATATTCACTCTCACCAGGCGATGGATTGAATGCCATTGACTCTCACCCTAGTGCGGCCTGCTGAGAGCCACAGCTTCCTTACCAGACATAACTTTCAAAAGGTAAACTAATCCTAAACCAGTGGTTCCCAATCTTTTGTTGCTGCAACCCTAAATTGGCCATCAACAGGACCTCCCAACCCAGCGCTGCAGGGACTGCTGGGAGCAGAGTTTGGTGACAGCAGCAGCCCAGGGGCAGGGGAGCCACCATTGCCCCCTTTCTACGCGGTGCCCCTGCCCCACCTGCCCACCCACCGCTCCTGGGCTGTGCGCGAGTGCGCAGGCCCTTTGCAACCATGATTTGCGTCACACCCAAGGGGAACCAGTGCCCTAAGCAACAGGTTGTTGGTTGTAGCCGTGTTGGTTTAAGGACATAGGCAGACAAGGTTCTTTGGGTAAATGTGATACCTTTTATTAGACCAACTAAATAGTTAGAAAAAATGTTCTTTGCAAGCTTTCAGGCACAAACACCCTTCTTCAGGCACAGGGAGAGTTCTCTCCCTAAACTTGGTTGGGATCCAGAAAAGAGGCATCCCTCCACCTCTGCCCCCTAAGGAACTCCCTGTGCCTGGAGAAGGGTATTTGTACCCAAAAGGTTGCAAAGTACAATTTTCCCAACTATTTAGTTGATCTAATAAAAGATATCACATTTACCCAAAGAACCTTGTAACCCTGAGCAAATGCATTGAAGTTTGCATACAGCTTTAGTTAGTTGCTCCAAAATGGATAGGACAGGATAGTACTAAAGCCCACTAACCCCAGGCTTCAGTCACACAATACTTTTCCTTAAAAGAATTATTAAGCTAATCTATTTGATGCAATGGCAGATGGATTACATGGGAACAAAGTGCTCCCATCTCCACACCTGCCCAAAACAGAAGAAGAGAGTAACTCCCCAAAAAACAAACATCTTGATTATCTTGGCTTTTCAAACCTCTTCCTGCTTGCTAAAGTTCTAGTTGTTCCCAGCAGTTTTTGTAGCATGACTACACCTGATCCTTGTGGTGGGGGGAGCTGTCTAAAAAAATATTAGAGAAACATACAAAATTAAGTGAGAGGGAAAGTGCATGGCTTGTAGGGAATGGAAAGTAGGGGAAGTTCCCATGTAATTCAGCCCAGACATGGGACCTTATTAGCTGCTTCTGGCAGTTCTACAAGTGCTCTTAACTAAATGTTTATAACCAAGTGTTTCTTTACAGTGCAGGGAAGAATACTACTGCTCACAGTCTCTTTAAACCAAATATTTTTAATTAAAAATTTACACATTTGAAGTAGGTGGTTACAGAAGCAAGTAAGCAAACTACAAGCTTAAATTAGCTAAGGACAATTCTTCATTGATAAATATTCACAACCTTAGGAAGCTACTAATTACTGGAGACATACACAATATGAGACAGCAGCCGGGATCATGATTTCCACTCTAACTGCAACTGACAAAATGCCTCTAATAGCTTTTCCAAGTGAGACTTGAACATTCAAATCTGTAGAGGACCTACTGCTAGGGACCCCAAAGTCATTTTGGGTTAGGTCCAATAAGGGACTTAAGGTGACTAAATGTTAAATGGCCTAGCACCAAACTTACAAGCATGTGGCCCCCAAAGAGGAATCTGAAACCTGTGTTAGGTTTCCTTTAAAGTGCAGAGAAAATTATAACCTTAGAAGCATGATCCAAAAACTCTATGTACTGAGGCTGGGAGGCACCTTCAGCTATCTAATAAGTAATGCTGAGCTGTTATCACGTTATCTCATGCGTCTTCCACCTCACCACTCTCTGGACCTAACACTTGACTTCAGACTACAGGCAGGCAAGTCTGTCCACCTGGGATCCTCTTCTGAAGGTAGATGCTTATGCCCTTTGCTGCAAAGAAGTGACCAGAACTTGTTCTTTTCTCTTAAAACATAGCCGCCAGAAAAGGAAGCCATCCACCTTTTACTTAAGCGTTTAGTAGGTACAGCACTCATCCAACAAGTGGAAGAACTGTATTACTTCCCTTTTCAGTATAAGGGTGTCAAAGCCCCATCTTTCTCCCTGAACCCCCCCGCAATGAGATTACTTAACTCACCGAAGAACCCTAATGTTTTTGCTTGAATGGTGCTTTTCTGCCCCCCATAACTTGCATTCCTTTCTGCAGTGCAGCACAGCTTCAGGAAAGGAACATACCCCTGCCCAAAACAGCCTGTGGACTGTTTTTAGGGCCTTGTCTCGGGGGAGGGGGGGCGCAGAAAATATAGGTTTAAAGCTCCATTTCCACTTCACAGAAATCTCTAACCACTAGCTTAGGGGTTGGCAATGTTTTTGGTCAGAGCGCCAAAAACACCCACAACCTCGACTGCTAAGATGTTGGCATGCCACAGGCAGATGGCAGGGGAGCCACAAGGGGCCTGATCCTTGTTGTGGCAGCACAGCCCCAGCCCCTTCCCTGCCATCTGCCCCAAGGCATGTGCGCCAAGCAAAATGCCTTTGTGTGCCATACACTGGCACCCATGCCAAGGGTTGCCTACCCCTGACTAGCTTATTGCAAATGATGGGTTCCTCTTCTACCAGACGGGTTTCTAAAATAAGCATTTTCTGAGGGGCTAATCCTACTGGGGCCTGTTGAACATGCTCTGAGCACGCCTACTCAGCTGAGTCCCTCAGGGGACAGAGCTGGGGGGGATGTCTCCTTTCTGGATCCCGACCAGGCATGAGCGAGGTGCTAAGCTACTCTGAGCAGGGCAGGTGTGGGCATGCACAGAAGCAGAAGTCTAGGTGCCTCCCTATTTAACTCAAGTTTGAGTTTAGGTGCCTCAAGCTGAGGCTTAGGCAACAACTGAGCAGGTTTTGGATTGAGGTAGCCCAATTGTGCCTATGACCTATAATGAATGGATCCAGCTCTTGATCAAATCCCATTTAATACCTGATAGTCCCAATTGAAATGGTGCCTTTAATAGACATGTCTATAACTGCTGATTCAGGCAGTGACCCGCACAGGAAAAAGGTTATTAAAGAGTCCCAATATCTCTAATATTTATCCTAACAGAACTAACCATTTTGAGATCTATTAATATTTAAATACAATTTGTGTTTTCTTTTTATATATAAAAAATACATTTGTATATATTTTTTTGGAAAAAAATAGAAAAAGTCTTACGAGCATTATTAGCATGGCACATTAACACTGATGTAATTTATATCTCCATTAGGCATTTTTTAAGAGGTATGCTAGAACTAAAACAGTAAGGGTACTTGTACGCATGACGGGGGTTTAGTCCTCAGGGTTTTATTCTATGCCCCCTCAATTGAAATAGTGGGTTTTTAATTGAAGCCAGTTTCAATTTTTCCATTGTGTTACAGCCTGAGCCTCTTTTTTTTTTTTTTTTTTTGAGTCAGAGCCTGCCCGCAGCTGGGGGGTGAGCTACAGGTGGGCCAAGCAGCTAGTGAGCTGCGGGGGGCCCTGGTCCTTCCCTCCACAGTGGCGGAGCCGCCCAGGCAGGCTGCTAGTATGCCAGGTGCTGCCCCAGCTTGGAGGCAGCACCCGACCTGATCCAACTCCAAGCTGGGGCAGCCCCAGGGGCCACCACTGCTGTGGAGAGAAGGACTGAGGCCCCCTGCAGCTCAGGGGCTGCTTGGCCCGGTATTTCGCCCCTCAGCTGCAGGAAAGGCAGGCAGTCTCCACTGAAGAAAAAAAAAATCTGATCTGGCCCCTCACCACTTCTGCCTTCAGCAGGCTCCTTTGCCTGGCAGGATGCCTGGGGTCGCCTGGGAGCAGGCTGGCTTGCCCCTAGGGCAATGTGGAAAGACGACAGGATGTTAGCTGGGTTTGCTGGTGGCCAGAGAGGGCAGCAGGGACAGTGTGTAGGACGCTTGAAGCCCAGACAGGCTGCTAGCTGGCTGGGTGCTGCCCCAGCTTGGAGGTGCCCAATCCAATGTTTCCTCAAGCCCGCCAGGGCTTCCAGCACCCCACGCACCGTCCCCACTACCTTTTCTGGCTGTCCGCACCCACGCCCCGTGCACTGTCCCCGCTGCCTTTTCCAGCTGCCAGCACACCCAGCCACTCTCCTGCTGCCTTTCCACGCAAGCCAGCACATTCTGGGGCAGTCCAATCCGTCCTGTCAGCTGCAGGACCTGTTGAAGGCAGAAACGGCAAGGGGCCTGCCTGATCCTTTTTTTCTGCGGAGCCTGCCCATTTCTCCTGCAGCCGGGAGGCAAGTTGACAGCTGTGCAATTTGCAACATCAGGATGTAGTTTAGTTTGCAATGATGCAAACTCATCTAAAATCCCCAAAACTGGTTCACGTGTAATGTGTGACGCTATTAAGCCACACAAATGACATTTTTGTCATGTGTACATCATGATGATCATCACATGTACAAGTGTCCTATGTTCACAGACTTCTCTGACAGTCACTAGATTCTGGCCTTTATTATTATTATTATTATTATTATTATTAATTTATTTAACTTAATTCTTTCTTCTCACTTTAAGGTAGCATGCCTGGAAAAATTCCTTCACAAACAGCAATCTAAGAAGGATACACATCTCAAGCATAGATCTAAAAATGACTGTTTTCTTTGGCTTAAGTTGAGGACGAAAGAATTTCATGCTTATTGCCTGTTGATGGAAGAGGGCCATGAAGTGATTCATGTTAAGATGATCTGTTCCAATACTGGATCCAAGTGAGAACCACTCTTTCTACATATGCTTTATATATACCATCTTTAGTAATTCCAGTTAGGCTGGTAGCTGTCCAAACACACCACATTATGTTGCAGGAAGAATCAAACATGACAGCTGAAAACTGTAAGTAGTTCTCAGCAGTGCTATCTGTTGTCCTCTGCCAAAAGACAGCAAGCTGGTCTGAGTTCTTCAAACATGAAATGTACATTGGTTTCCTCAAAATGTGGCTTTGTCCTGTTGCTGCAAACTGACAAGCCCTGGATCTGCTTATTTGAATCTGATCCCTGTCTCTTGGTTTAAAAAGAATCAGATAACTGTCCAGTCCTTCCACATAACCAACAAAAGGTCCCAACCAGCTGAAATTTCTGGATTCTGTTGTGGAGCTAGTGAGAAAATGGAATTTCTCCTTATCTAAGCCAAGGCAGAACAGAAAACATCTTTATACAACCAACATCAAAGAGAGGCTCCCCAGGGCAGAATTTAACATAGGTGCTAGCTCCATGGCAATGTTACCAATATTACAAACAATTCTTCATTGCTAGAAGAGGCATTGGAGAAGTGCCATTTTTGGTTCCTAAAGCATAATTACAAACCAAACCCAGATTTATTTCTGTTAGGTAAAGGAATCTCTTCATAAGTTATTTTGATGTAGGGAGATTTCATTGGTAAAAACCAATATTCTAAGTTGTAAAAAAGGTAAAACCTCTGCTGCAAGATGACTCGATCAATTATTTTTAAGAGATTCCAGAAGAATTCTTTGACAGCCTGAGGAGGTTTGAATGGAGAGTAGAAGTCTCTTAGAGCTTCAGCCATCGTCCTGTTCCCTGGAGGTCCAAAAATAGATGTTTCATTCCCCAAATAAATGGGCTCCCCACTGAATAAAGTTATAGTGGTGTAGTTTGTTTGTATGTTGTTAAAAACAGCTCCTAAATCAGACAGCTTCTGGTATGTTCTTAATACGAATTTAGAGCATTCATAAGATTCAAACCATACTACAGACTGCTGGTCTGGGCTGGCTCGAACTGTCCAGGTCTCATAGTAAATGCCAGTATCGTTGTCATATTTTACCCACTTTGCCATTTGGTTAAACATAATTCCTGTAAGAGACAACAGGGAAATTAGAAGCATTATGAAAAACAAACAGACAGAAACCAGTTAGCTAGAAAACTTAAATTGCATTATGAAATCCTTTGTTCAGAGAAGTTAATATCTTGGCATAATACATGTATCTACAAAGCCTCACCTGGATAATAACAAGGAGTTGCATGAAAATTAGGAGAGCTAACAAACCCCCTGGTGGGCAGGTTCTTCATTTAGGGAAATAATATTTAAATTGCTTATTTCTGTCCCCTCAAGAGCTACTGCTCCAGGTTTAGCACCATTCACCCCATGCTTATAATTAATGATCTTCCCTCTTCTGTTTTATGCATGTAGTTATACATAGAGCTGACAGCGCTGTCTCTAACTAAGGCTAACCAACATTTTCCATTCTAAGATCCTGTTTCTCATTATTCTTAAACCTTTATCCAACTTAAAGTATCTGGCTGAACTTTTTATGCCTCTTGTCCAAAAGATGCCTAACTGAATCTGCAAATAATATATTTTTTAGCTTCAGAATTTTATATGTGCTGTAAAATTAAAAATGCCCTGGCAAAAGGTGGACAGGGCCATGAAATGAGACTAGAAAGAGCAAGGATGAAGTCAATAAATGCCTCTCTGTATTTTCAGTAAGAGACCTCTTTAATTGGAACGCTATTTTTCCCCCCAAATGTTCACATAGTACACTCGTGAAGCAGTCATTAAGTCAGGCTCATAAGCATCCCCAAATACTTGACATGTCTGCCAGTGCAGGGTTCAGCTTAGAGCTGAAACAGAGTTCTTAGGCCAATTTACTGTGCCTGGGAGTGGTGCCCTTCAAGCACACCACATGGCTCTGCTCTTTTCCTTTGCCAGTCCGAAATGAATGCTTTGCAACTGCCCATGTTTTGATTTAATCAGCTTGAAGTCTTAAGTCAGAAAGTTTCACAAAGGCAGATTCCTCATTGTGTGCCAAGCTCAGTCTGTGCACCGTGTGTCAGAGTGGGCATGTAGTTTTTTATTTCAAGATTTCAATTTTCAGGAGAGGCTGTTTTGAACTCTGAGTAATGCACACAATATACATCAAGGAGCTATTCTGGTAAGCAGTACAAAAAGACAAGGTGTAAATGCTCTATTTGTCCTGCAACATCTGACAGGGAGGCCCATTACTGCTGTTTGGTTTATTGGTGTGGCTTTGTGATTCTGAACTTTCAGGAGGATGGAAAGAGATTTGAATGGATGTTGATATTCTTGACAATACATGTAGTTATGACTTGTCTGTTCAAGATCACAAACACAATTTTCCCAGTTTTTTCCATTTAAACAGTCATCTATTGCATTTGCATCTATTGCTTTGGAGATTTTGTTCTAGTGCAAATGTATGAAAAGAGTCCAGAATGATTTTGTATAAGCTGTTTTGCTATTTTTACACTTGAGAGGCTTGAGTGTATTGGGCAGGCTCTAATGTGACATAGCAAGCAACTCTCATTTAACAGCATCTCTTCAGTGTGGGTTGCTAAAAAGGCAGCATTATCGTATTATTTCCTATATTAAGAAAACTGCTAAAGTAACACTTCAATTTCAAATCAGTAGCATCAGTCACTGCATACTACACGTGACCTACAAAAAGTGAACGGAAAGATACTGCCTGACCTGAACGCATGACTTTATACACTATGGTAAGTCACCATAGGATTCCTAATCCTACCTGTTATTGTGGTCATCAAAATCAAGGTTCCATTTTCTTTCCAGTGTGCATCATCAATTCCTTCATAAAAACAGGCAGCTCCCTGATTACACCAAAATGGTGCATCAATATTAGGTCTGAGATGTGGAAAGGTGCAGTTCCCAAGCTGGAAGAGTTCATACCATTCCATTGTATAGTTTCTGCCAGTTAGAGAACTCCTGAAGCCAACAGCATCATGCATAATTTTCTGAGGAAAAGTTATGAAAGAAAAAGCTAGTAAAACTAAGCTCAGTTTGCATTGTACAGAAGTTTAGAAAAATAGGAGTCTATTGTGAAATGGAAGTCTCTACACTATATAAAAGCATTATCGATCACATTTCTCTGTATCATCTGCCTACTTCCAGTTGCCTACTGAGAGCCCACAGTCAGTCATTATTACAGGGTGGCTTTTCAGCTAGAATTAGGAATCAAACTACCTCTTGCTTTTTAACACCCACGCCCCCAAGCTGTAAAAGAACTGCAAGAATCAACAAATGAAACTCTTTCAGGGGAACCCAATGCTACTCCAAGTAATAAAAACGATATTTAAAAGTAAAATAGGATTTTCCTTTAAAAAAAGAATTAAACAATTACGTAAGCATGTCAGTGCAACCATCAAGCATTCAAAAATCATAATTCAGACTCCTAAAGTCTTTGAATTAGTGTTGAAACTCCTCAATTTATCAATAAGTGTTTTATTTTCTTTGCTTACCACATATATATTTAACCTTTAGGGTTCACATTTTAATCTTATTCCTGCTAGTATAAGGGCTAGAAATGTAATTTACAAAACCAGTAAAGTTGAGATCTTTTGTATTCACATGACTCCAGGAGTTGAGGCTTTAATAGGAACATCAAATATTGTAAGATTCAAGCTAAAGTCATGAAAATTGATCAAACAACCATGTGCAGCCAACATCTAATTCCAGTCAATTTTCGCATACTATAAATTTTTCTTTTATTAAAAAAAAACGTATGGACCTAATGAGATCTTTCCTAAACACTAACCAGAGATTGCCATAAAAGATTAATTTAAACTGATCTTTGTCAGCAATGGTAGAGTCAGCACAAAGCAAATAAATATCTGTAAATGCACACAACATACTGCTATTGTTGGCACTGTTAGGCAACATCTTAGACTCGACAGCAAGTTTGATTCTGTCAACAGTGCTAAGTGGTGCTGTTTTCTCAGTCTAATTCAGATTACTTCACTATAATTGTTTCCAAGGTTGGCATTTTTGATATCCTTGCAGTAATTCTAGTCCACAACCTCCAATACTCTTGCAAATGTACTAAAATATGACAATGCATAAGCTTCTATACTTAAATCTGGAATAAATGAACTGCCACTTGACACTTGCTATTAAATTTAATTGATTTGCCAAAAAGGATTTTTATTAAATGGAGAGAGAACCTTACCAAATGCCCAAGCAGCCCCCCATATTTGAACTCCCACACTGGAGCCTGTAACCGATAGACTTCAATAACATCTTCGTCTTTCATTATTGGGATGGGAGAACCAGTAGGGCAGAAAGTATAACGAGCTTGGCAATAGGGATCCAATTTAGGGCGGTAATCAAAACGTCTACATCAAAAAACAAAAGTATATAATATTAGTCTAATTTCAAAGGAAAGTCAGGATTTCACAGAATGTTTGTTTTAAGAGTCCAAGCGTCAGCACCAGCCTGTCATGGACTGATTTTAAGATGAGCCCAGTTTTAGAATACCCACAAAAATCAATGAAAGCCAGCGGTGCACATGCAGCGCCTTTGAAAGTGAGGTCCAAATAAATACCATAACCCTACAAACACAATATGTGAGAGTTCCCCAAACTACTCTGATGCATGTTTTAAAGTATTGGAGCTAAAAACTATAGCTGAAGTGTCAGGATACAGGCAACAGAATTTAGCTGTCTAGCAAGCAAGGAGTACTGTTAATCCCACTGGAATAGATTTGCTCTTTCAACTGACTTTGCCTTATAAAAATATGGGCACAAGACTAGAAGTTGAAATCTATTTTAAAAGTTGGACCTAAGGTTTGTCTGTTTTCCTGTGTAGACATCAAACCTATTCCAGACCAACTTCCATATGGAAACTCTAGGCCAGGAAAAACGTCACTTTTATCCTCAAACGGCTTGGATGCTAGTGTGTTATTCTGGAATAACTATACCAGTAATTTGCTCTATGAAGAAAACCCCTAAGAATCTTTTCATAGGAACTTTCTTTTTTCCCGCTAAAACTTGAAAAAACCCCCCACAAACACAGAAAAAAACTCTAATTCTCTTTAGATATTAACACCACAACAGAACACATTCCAGGGATCCCCTGGTTTTCTCTGATAAAAAAATATCCCCAATTTTTGGATTTAAAAAAGTAACCCAAAATCCACATTTTCCATGATCAAAATCAAATGGCACTATACATATATCTATATTTTAGTGGTGTTTCATTTTGATCCCTACACATTACTGTACATGAAACACAAAGAACATTCAGGAACGCTGTGACTTCTCCAATGCAAGAGCTCCCTGCTGTCCCTCAATTTCTATTCTAATTCACTATATTTCACTCAAGGCTTGTTTGCCTTTTTTCAAAGGGAACATTCAAGTTGCACCCTTTAAACACTCTTTTCTTCACACCCTTGCAATAGCAAGCTATTTAACGGTAGTGTTCAGGGCATCTGTACACATGCCTGACACCTATTCCAGCACATCCTAATTTGAACGTGTCAGAGCAGACTCGATTAATTGATGTCGCGTATATTCAGCATCCACTTGCTTCAAAACGGTGGTGGGAGGTGCTTTAGTTAAAGCTTGTTGAATAAGCTTTAGTTAAAGTGCCCCTGCTGCCATTTTGAAGTGCGGAACGCTGAATACACAAGATGCTACAGCAGACAATGTTCCTTGGGTGAATTTGGTATCTTTTATTAGACCAACCCAAATAGTTGGAGAACTAGAAGAGCACACACCAACTGCTGAAACTTCCTTAGCCTGACGAAGGGTTTTTGAACCCGAAAGCTTGCTTAATAACTTTTCTCCAACTATTTGGGTTGGTCTAATAAAAGATATCAAATTCACTCAAGGAACCTTGTGTGCCTATGTCCTTAGACCAACACAGCTACAACCTAAACCCCTGCAAGATGCTACGGGCACTTGAATCAGAGCACTTCCCAAGAGCCGCTCTAATTAAAGCACCCTTACCCTGGAACACATGTAAAGATGCCCTGGGTAATGGTGTAGCCATGGTGAGCCAGGAAATATGCACAGGAAAATTAAGGCCCTGCCGCCTCCCACAGAGCCCAGGCCCAGGCCCCTCGCAGCACACAGTAGGGAGGCTGCAAGCAGCTACACCAAGTTCGTTAGTCCTGGCCCGGCTCATTGCTGGTGGCAGGTCTACACACACCTTGGTGTGGACAGCGGGAAAGGGGCTGCTCTGCCACAAGAAGCATTGGGCCCCTCGGAGCTCCCCCACCATCCACCCAAGGCGTGCGTGCCAAGCAAAATATCTTCATGTGCCATGCTCCAGAGCATGGCCAAACCCTGATCTAAATTCTGTGCTTCCTATCCTATCCTGCACAGAGTTTTAGAAGCTCCAACTATGGGAAGGAGCAATGTGAGGCTGTCCTATATACTCTCCTAATAAAAATATCCTTCCTGAGTTTCTTTAAGCCGTGTGTGTCTGCACGCATGTGCGTGTGTGCCTGTTACAATTTATATGCAATCCAAGGATCACATTTTAATTTACTACAATGAAACCAGTAGCAGTACATGAGACCCTTGCCATTAGCGGGGGATACATTCTAGAGATCCCCATGAATGGGGAAGTCCGTGAATACTGTACTGTGTCGTCTGCGTTGAAAACTTGTTTGGGCTTGTAACCCTTTTCCTCGATGATTTTAAGAAGCTGTGGGGGATAATCCTGCGCCGCTCCATGGTCCAACAACTTCACATTATGTAGGCTGTGCCTCTTTCTAAATTTCTTGAACCACCCCTTACTTGTGGAGCACAGTAACGAAGTGTTGTCACACTGCGCGGCGAAAGAGCATGGGTTGGTGCAGTGCACCGCAAATATTCAAAACCGTGAATTGCAAATCCGTGAATAGCAAGGATTTCCTGTATTGACCAGAGCAAATTTAAATACATGCACAACTGGAGCCTAATATTTCAAATGGCTATTTCCATGGCAAAATATAGCCATGCTGATTAAAATCAGGCAATGTATACTAAAGCTTCTGTGTATGTATGCACTACTACTATTTCATATTCATTGGAACAAATGTGTCTGTGGACGCTTAAAAATCAATGTGGAAAAATTTAAACGTGGCTACTTAAAAAAAAACAAAACCATTTTCATCCTCAACTGATGAGCTTCCTGAGCTTATCCAGCATCACAGCCTCTCACTTCATACAGTGATTATTAAAATACAGATATTTTTTCCTTGGTCCTACAGCTCTGGAATTGGAAGCAGGTATTTTGTTCTGCTTCATGCATTATCACCAGAACCGTTAGCTGAGTCTCGGTACTTTAACCCCATTTTCTGTAACGTCAAGTACCCACAGCTTTTATTTACAACCATGGGAATAAAAGATAATGATGTACCAGCTAGAACAGACACAGCTTGATTTTCATTTTCCAGGTCAAGTCTATGACACCTGCTCTCCTACTCATAAACTGAACATGGTGCCATTGAAAAGCAAGGACTTGTTAATAGTAACAGTCACATTATTTTAAATAGGAGAGCCAATTTCTAAAGAAAATAGTTCAAAACGGAAAGCAGAACAGGGCCTTCAGCTCGGTGGTTGGCAACATTTTCTGGCAGTGGGCCAGAACGTCCCAGCTCTGATCTGAGATGTGAAGGTGCCAGGACCTGGCTGCCCGTTCTCTCTGCTGCCTGTCCACACATGGGTGCAATTGGAGGCCCCAGACTCCATGAGCTAGATCCAGTGACTCCACAGGCCAGATTCAGCCCACAGGCTGTAGCTGCTGATCTCTGCTTTAGCTGTATTATTGCCAGCACTTCCATCTAGACCAGGGGTGTTTAGCCTCCTGCCTCTGGGCCAGTTCTGGCCCCCAGTGCTGTGTCATCTGACCTCTGGGTCTCCCCATAGATCCCCAAATTTGGCAGCAGGAGAGAAGTGGCACCACTACCTTGCTGCCAAATTTCTGGACCTGTGGAAAGCACCATGGGCTGGACAGCATGGCCCTGCTCACTAACCAGGCACACAGGGCACTGCAGGGCCCAATCCCAGCACGTAGATCCAAGCTGGGGTGGCACAGGGCTTGCAGGGGCTGATCCTAGCACGCAGGACCAGCCGGTAACAGTACAGAGCCCAATTTGGGTGCATGGGGCCAGGCAAAGGCAGTGCAGTGCCCCACCTGGCCTGAGGACTGGACCAGCCCCACTCATCTGGCCCGTGCGGCCAAAAGGCTGGGCATCACAGCTCTGCACATTTGCAATGCATGAGGCGGAGTCTATCAAAGGCCCAGAGGTCTCTTTGCTCGTTCCTTCTCCACCCTGCCTTTACCCAAGGATGAGACCCAGTAAAAAGAACAACTACGGTCCCTGCCAGCTTAGTTAGGTCTGAACTGACCAGAAACCACGTCTCAGGGCCCGGTTGGCACTGGCTTTCCAGGATTCACTCCGGATCAGCCAGAGATGGCATGGGGTGGCAGGAGAGTCCCACACTGCCCAGGTCACCCCAGGCTCTGAGCCGGGCACTGTGGATTTGCAGCCCAGCAGGTCTCCACCTCTCCAGATGTGAGGCCCGGGCCTAACGCTGGAGGATTCAGACCCTCGAGCCCAGTGCCCACAGGAGGGTGCTTCACCCTCTCGCCATCACCCGGGGTCCTTGCCCAACCCCACCTGTAGCCACAGTGACATGCACTACTTGCAGGGGCTTCTGGGAGAGGAGCCCAGAAGGCTTGGCTGGGCCTAGCTGGAGCCGCCCCTGCCCCACCCCCAGCGCTGCCATCACGTGACACCCAGCAGCCCCCGCATAGGTTCTCGAACCACCCCCCTCGGCTGGGGAAGCTCCATTGGCCCCCTGCCCGGGAGAACCTGGAGGGGCCAATCAGCGCCCCCTCCGCCCCGCCGGCGCCATGCGCTCCCCCGTCACGTGAGTCCCCCGACGCACTGCTGTGGGGGCGCGGCTACTCACCGGTAAGGCACAGGCCACCCCGGCTGAGAGCGAGGCTCCACTGCCCGCAGCAGCGCCACCAGCAGCAGTAGCAGCTGCCGCCCGCCTATTCAAGGCGCTGCCATGGCCGCTGCGCACAGCCGCAGCCCCCTCCCCCCCCGAGCGCCAACTCTGTCCTGCTCCTGTCACGTGACCCACCCATCTGTCCGGGCGGCGCGTCACGGGGTTGGTGGGCACGTGACCCGCGCGAGCGCCGGCCCCGCCCCCACGCCGTGGAAAGCTGAGGAGCTGTGGCGGTGTCCCGTCGCTGTGTGCGCGCGGTACTTGCTGGCCCTGTGCCGTGCGCAGCCCGTGGTAGTGCACCTGCTCCACGTGCACGGGAGTGTGGAGGCAGTACTGGGTGCAGCAAACGCCAAACCCCAAGTCACTTGTCAGGGACCCTTGACTGACTTCGGGGCTTGTTGGCAGCCCTTTCTTATAGTGCTTGCCTCAAAACATGCTTCAACTTCGATGACCCAGTTTTCACTCACTTGCGAGTTACAGTGAGTAATATAAAGTAAATGAGAAAAAGGCTTATTTGCATAATGTTTTGCCTATTTTTTCAGTGCAGGAAAAAGCATGGATGACTGGTGCCTCCTGCGGCTGATCTTGCCATGGGGGGCGGGCTCTAGGAGAAGTGATCCCCACAGTCCCCCATGGCCAGTTGTGCCAACCTGGAAGCATGAGTGGGTGAAGCCCATAAGCTTTCATAAGTAGCTGCTGCTTACAAAACATTCTGCATCTCTGATTTAGTTTGTCTACAAGGTGCAAATATACTCTGCCTTCTGCCTGACTTCCAGTGCTGTAGCAAGGTGGGGGTGAGCGGGGCGGCCGCCCCAGGAGCAAAAGCGAAGGGGCACCAAAAGGCGCTGCACAGCTGGAGCAGGATGGAGCTGCAAATGGCTTGTTTAGGGGTGGGGCGCACAGGTTGGGGGAGGGTGGCTGCCACTGCTGCATGCACTCCTGGGCAAGCATAGTGGGGGCATGTGCCCCCTGAATCTGCGCGGGGCAAGAATGGGGCTGTGGGCTTTGCCTCAGGCACCAAACTTCCTTGCCATGGGACTGCTGACTTCAGACTAACACAGATAACTACTTCTTTTTAACATTTTGTGTGTGCTGTTTACGCTGAAGGTTCAGTAGATCATATTTTATAAAGAAAGTGTGCAGTTATTTACATCCGTTTCTTACCTTGCAGGTAGCAGTTTAATACTGACTGTTAATATTTTTTTTCTGTCTTCTGAAAAAAAGGGACTCTATGTGTTTGAATATATTTAATATTCCTAGCGTATGTATACCACGTCTGCATAGATCTTGAAGTGATTTATGAAGTAAGGTAGACAGACTAGGAGGACTGAGCCAGAGGGAGGTAGGTGGCACACCAAGTTCACATCACACGTTGCTTTCCTAGCTAGAATTATAATGTAATATCAATCTCCTGATTCTTAGTCCAGTGCCCTATTTACCAGACTACTGCATGACAGCAAGTGAATCTCAGACCTGTGTCAAGATCAAAATACGATATTACGTGTAAAATTATTGCTAAGGCTGCTAAGAGTGTACATAGAAAGGACTCTAAGATGGCAGTGTTGTTAGATCTTCCAGTGCAGCCAGCTTTTTGTACCTAATTTTATTGCACCCTGTGAAAAACAGCTTGTATGCAGTTCTGTATACTTACCCATTCATGTAACAGTAGTACAGGACCTAAGTAGTTCATGAAATCTGGAATAAATATACTGCAGCTAAAATGCTCATGTGCTTGCTCTTTATTATTTCTCAGACTGCAGCTGTCTAGTTAATTAGCTGGAGACTAGTTTTAGGCTTTTATCCAACTTATGGAGCTTTGTCAAGCCCTTTGTCAACAAACAAGCTTCCAAGAAGAGCTGGGAGTGGCTACAGCTTCTGGGAGCTGGTCAGGCTGCTCATTTGATCGCTCTCATGCTCTTCAAACTTTTTCTTTGTCTAATAATAATTTTTTCAATTTAGCTGAAAACCTTAAAATAGGAGCTCAGTGATTCTTCAGTACAAGCCAAATGCCTTTCCCATTTCTGTATGAAAAGGGTTTAAGGAAGCAGAAAGAGAAAGGCATTTCTCTAACAGCTGAAACTTGAGGGGAGGTTTTGCATAGCTGCATCAACTTATAATGATTTAATAGTCTCGGCAAAGGGACCTTTGACAAAGGAGTAACAGCTTCTACATGATTAAAACCTCTCTTGAGAAACACATCTCAGTGTCCTCCTCCTGTGTTCAGACACTTATCTACCAGCATATAAACAACCACCATCAAATCAGAAAGTTATGAGCAGAGATGGATTGCAGCTCACATCCAGTATTTTGACTGATTCCTGCATGGTATGCTCAGACAGTGGCAGCCGTGGAGATCGTTCAACAAGAGTTAAGAGTCTGCAGGATTCATTTTGAAAAATACACGGCAGCTTCCGCAGCCTTACAAAGGCAGATCCAAGAATTCCTGAAAGCTGCATATTGTGCGCGCTGGGCGCGAGCCGGGCCCTTTTTCGTGCTGCACGTGGGCTGTGGCCAGCAGCCCGGGCACGCGGGGTCGGAGAGAGGAGGCGCGTCAAGCTAGAATTAGGCACAGACTTGTAGCGGTAGATTTAAAGATTGTTTACTTACACTGGAGATGGTTGCGGTGCAGGCTGGAAAACTTGCTTGAGTTGCGGTTATAGACAAAGACAACACGAACAGTCACGTGGAGTTTGCTAGGCTCCACGGAAACAGAGCTCTGGATGCTCTGGGTGAGCGCGCCACCAACATCGGAAACTCGTAAATACATCTTATAAAATTTGTCGCTCGAAGACGGGAAGAGGTGGGCGATGGATCAGGTCGCCAAGCTCCTCTGAATCTCACACAGGGGTTTCTATTCCCCTACCGTGTACCCAGAGTCCCCACGAGATGGATGTGGAGTCCTCTTCAGCTTGGGCAGAAACCGCTCAAGCCTCTTATACGGCTAGCAGGCCAATCGTTAGCCGCCACGTGTGAATAATTTAGAACTAGCCAATAGCAGGACACAAATTTGCATGCGGGTGGCGGGAACTCCTTTGCACCGTGCATTTCCCTTGCAACTTGAGAACAGCACACTGCAAAGGAAGCTGCAAATAGGCGGGAAACTCTTCCTTGCACCGGGGTTCTCCTCTGCAGCAGAAAACTCCACCATGCAACGAAGCTGCAATTTGGCGGGGATAATTCTGGTGCCGCAGCACACACAAAATCATACCTTTGGGTTATGACACATATTACCATTCATTTACAGTTTTTACAGTACTATAGCATAGGTGAGGAAACACATTGTGCTTGTTTGAGCTTGCAGCTATTGGACCCAATTTTGTGACAGCTTTTCAAAGGAGAAACATAGTCCACAAGTAGAGGAAGGGGGGGGGTGTATGAGATAATTTTTAATGCATCAATTATGTACCCAGCAAGAAGATCTGTATTTTCTCACATATACTATGTCTATGAATATAATACACACCCTGTTTTTTACAGATGTGCACTGGCCTGATCTGGTGTGTTGGATCTGGGGCCACATGCTGGGTCTGACGCCACAGTCTGTCAGGGCCATGTGCCAGGTCTGCAGCTATGTACGAGGGCTTGGATCAGATACTGTTTCTGTCTGCAGCCTGATTCAGTGCACTGGTCCAATCCAGCATGCCTGACCCCAACATCGGATCAGACCTTGTGTGTCTGGTCCAGCCATAGCCAGACCCTGCATACTAGTGTGATTTGGCATGCCAGGTTTGGGGCCACATGTTAGGTCTGGCCATGGCCTGTCCCCACACACTCTGTCTGTCAAAGAGTGAAGTGGGGCATCACTCAAACAGGGCAGAGTTAAGTGGAATTGTGTGTATCTTAATATTATGTTTTCTAGCATGTGGAAGTTTATTTTACTTTGGTGTTATATTCCCAAAACAACCTCACATTTGAACCACTAACCCTACCTTAGACCTCATTCAGCACAGTAGTTTCCAAGACAAGCATGAGAATTTTAGAGCACTTAGAATAAATGGCTAAATCGTTAAACAAGTAAGGTAACAGTCCTCCTAATGACTGTGGCTTCTGTCCCACTTCAATGAGAAGGTAGAAAGGGAATGCATGTTAACAAATATTTAAAAAATGGAAAAAGTTCTCATAGAGAAGTAAAGGAACAGGTGTTCTGCAGCTGTTCAGTCGTAGTTTCCATTAATAATTACATTCATTGAGACCAAAATGAAATATGTAAATATTTTTGGTGGTGAAGCCACGTAAGTCTGAAATGCAGTGGCTTGATCTGGTGCACAGGCCCATGTTATTTGGGCAGCAGGACTCCCCATGGGTCTAGGAATTTGGCAGTGGGGGAACAGCAGCTCATGCCTCCACCACTCCTCTGTTGCCAAATTTCCAGAGCCTCAGGGAGCCCTGCAGGTCCAGATGCCAAGGCCTAGCAGCTGGCTTTCACTCAGGGGCCAGGGGCTGAGTACCCCCTGAATAATCCAGTCTGGAAGGTAGGCAGGATTAGAATGGTTGGCATGACTGTGCTGTCTTGCCATCAGGGGCCTGTCTTCCAGGGGAAGGGACATCCTGGGTCCCTGCTAGGTGGAGTTACCATCTCTTGAGCTCATGCTCAACTCTTGCCACGTTCGAGCCCCTCCCTTGTGCCTGCACTCAGGATTGAACCAATCACAGCACCTGTGGCAGCCTCTGGGTCCTTTTGAAGGTGCCCAGCAGCTGGCAGTTGTGCCTGGGGTGTGGGGGGTGTCGGTCTGGAACGTGCCCCCAGGGTGCTCTGCAGGGTACGTATGCCATGGTGTACCAGAAGCTGCAGGGAAAGGGGGAGGCAGCCATTTCCTATGGGCCCAGGGGGTGCAGAGTGGAGCTGGCTGGTGGGCAGACAGCCATAGGCAAGTGGGTGGCAGTGGTGCTGGCTGGCAGTGGTGCTGGCCATCTGTGGTGTCTTTGATGGTAGTGAAGTGCAGGAGGCCTTGACTGCCTTGATGCATCCCAGCCAGGGCGGTGCTCAGGTAGGAGCCAGGGGCAATCCCTAGCGCCCAGCCTGCGGCACCCTGCCCCCCCCCCCCCCCGGTCACAATGCTTACACGCACTGCTCTGCTCTGCCCTGTGCTGGAGACACTCGGCCCCAGGGCTCAGCGCAGACCTGGCTGCA